CCAGCGCGCAACCGGCGGCTCCAGCGGGTATCTCACCTTCAACAGAGGGAAAGGATATCAAAGCATTGCCGCAGCCAACAAAAGACCCGTATCCATTACCGCTGAGGGGGGGTCAAAGCTCTGGCTGGAGGGGGGGACGCTCACACGGGTGCAGCGAGAGGGAGACGAGCAAGCGGAAAGCGCGAGGAAGAGCTATCGGGAGCCGGCGGCTCAGCCTCACGTGCCCGCCGGGCCAAGGAGCAGAAAGGACAGCAAGCCGAAGAAGGGCTGAGCCGACAAAACGTCTTCGGTCCGTTCCTTCAAAAGCAACCCCCCGGCGCTGCGGTTTGGGAGGCAAAAATAAAAAAATAAAAAAAAACAAACCATTCCCATCTGCACTCTTCCGTAGATGGGCTTGCTATTCCCGTGGCTAGCGGGCCTTGGCCACACATTCAGCTTGCTGTCACAAGCTATCATATGGTTGCCGGCATATCTTTCCGCACGTCATTCGCTCGCACCCAAAGCGCCCCTGCACTGCTTCTGCAAAGCTGACGAGAGACATGTTTCGTGCCTTGACTACATCTGGAGGCCAGAAGCAAACGACAGGAGCTCGAATCCTCAGATTTGAGGACAAAAAGCTGATTCCCAGCTGGAAGGCGTGGTGGTGGGGGGTTGTCAAGGAAAAAAAAAAAATCTCTCCGTTACGCTCCTTTCTTATTTGTAGCCTGATTTCCTACGGAAGTGAGATGTCCGCAATCAAGCCCTCTGTCTGCCAGTCCCTCCCAAATAACATTTTGAATACATTGGCCAATTCCAACCCAATCCCACCGCTCAAAGCCACAAATCTCTACCTGCCTTCATTGCGACTGTTTTAGAAGGGCACAGGTCTATAGGGACATGGAAAGGGAGCTGAGGAGACTTCCCAAAGCCCTCTCGGCAGGTGCTTCAAATTCACCTCTGCTTCTAGCAGAAGACAGGCGTAAGCCAACTCTTAGCTGGGCTGCCTCAGGGGAGCGGCCCTAAGAGCTGGGTGGGATGAGACCAGACCCTTGTTCCTCCATCAACGTTACCGTTAAACCAGGATTAAAGCATCGTTCGGCTCTGGGGCCACCTTACACAAAGTCCGTCAAGCTCAAGAAGCATCCGTAGGGAACCAATCCTTTGTCCGTCAGGCCCTCAACGACCTCCTCACCTAAACCTCTCAAGGTTCGCCTCTTACTGGCGAACGCAAAGGCCTACCTAGACACTCGCCAGTGTGTGTCCGAGGACAGCTCTCACCAAACCAGCTCTGCGAGGTAGAAACGCTCCTCAAACCCACGGAGCGCCGCTCTCGCCCACAGAGCAGGCGTGGGAGAGGTGACGTTTCTGTTAAGCTGATCTCCTCGCTTTTCAGTGCGACGCCTTTGGGACTGAGCACCAGCATTCAGCGGAGCCCACCTAAAACTCGTTCCGGTTACGGTAGGTGTTTAAGCCCAGCCAGGTGCAGAGCGATCTTATGCTGCTCACTGCTTCATGCGGAAAGCTGGTATCTGTAGCTGGCCCAGGACAGAGCTTTGCAGGAGAAAGGTCTCCGGATAGCTTGCATGCAGCTTCCTTCCCTCCCTCCGCGTTGCTGCATTGTTTCACTCATCTCAAGAAAGCCCTGGACTAGAACTTGCGTAAATTTGTTTCTCGTCCTCCTTGAAGGAAGTCAACGAACTTAGGCGTGCTACAATTTGCACCGCTCCTCTCAGCTCCAACGCGGCAAAGTGCTGGCCTTCAAAACCGCTGGATAACCACGGGCTGCAGAGAGCGTGAAGCAGAAAGCACCGCTAAGAGAAGGAATAGCTCCACACCGTTCAAAGCCATTTCCGGGGACTAGGCTGGACTGGACCACTGTGACCCTCCGATCCAACACCAGCTGCTTGAGAGGACAACACAGGCAACACTCACGTGAGACACCAAGGAATAAGCTTGTCTCCAGGGAAAACGTATACCTGACTTCTCTAGCAAAAAGCTGGCTCAGGCCATGGCGCTAGATCTGCTTTGCACGGTGGGAAGAAGCTGCCTCCTCCCACGCGTGCGTTCAGCTGCAGTGCCACATTCGCCTGGGATCTTTTCACCGGGCTGCAATGGAAATAAGGCTTTACGATTTGCAATCAGGGAATAAATCACTTCTTCCGAGACAATAAAGCACCTGCAGCAGAGCGCAATGAAAGTAGGTGGGGTAGATCTCATCTTCTGTTGAAATGTCTGTAGCAAGGCTATTCCATGCTTGCAGTTTTTATTTTCCTCAAAGATGCCGAGCGTGCATTGGGAAAGAGGCCAGTTTCACCCATGAATCATGTCCCTGCAAACACAAATACGGCAGGAAAAAAAAAAAGGTTGTCCTGAAGCAGACAAAGCACAAACTCACCTTGGGCTGCGGCCTCGGAGCATGGGATTCCCATCACGTGGGTCCAACCTAAATCCCGGCTGGATCATCGGCTATTTTGAGATCAAAACAAAAGTGAACTTTGCTGCCTCTGAAAGAAAAACAATCGGGTGGGTTTATTTTTAAAGAGGAAGGTTAAAAAGGAAAAAGCTGGTCCCTTTTTTCTCCACTAAACGAGCTGACGGCGCAGGAGCTGAAAGATCTACGCAGGAGAAAACTCCAAGCCGACTTTGGAGCCTATACCCCGTTTTCAAAAACGACCAAGCTTTGGTCCCACCAACGTTTCGCTTGGTCTCCCGAGCGCCCCCCCCCTAGAAGGGCCCCAACCCCGATCAGCTCACGTTAAGTATTACGCTTGATTATCTCTCCTTAATGACTGCACAAGCGTTAGTCCTATTGAGACAACATGCCGTGCAGCAAACTTCACTGCTAGCACGCATCTTGACAGTTCATGTAGGACGGGGCCTTCGGGAAACGCTCTCAAAGAACCTAACCGAAGCCACGGCGCCCCTGCCAATGACCGTATTTTTGGTTGCTCCAGCAAAGACAGCACGCAATTAAAAAGCCCCCTCTGACTTCAGGGAGCAACGGGCCGGCTCCTTCCTTCGCCGCTCGGCAGCCTCGTTCCGGGTCTACCGAAGCCAAGGCAGGTTTTGATTTCAGAGGGACAAACGCGGCGTTAGCGGCCAGGACACGCATCCCGATTGCATCTCCCCATGTTCTGGAGATAGGAAGAGATAAAAGGAGATGAAAGACGCCCGGTCCCCGACGTCTGCTCACGCCCAAGCTGGTCGGTCGCTGTTGGACTTCTCCGTAAAGGCTTTGCAACGGTCCGGATCCAGCGGTGAAGCATTTTTTTTTTTGGTCTCTCCTCAGTAAAGGGGCTTATTTCTCCGGTCATAAAAAGCAAGAAAAAAAGAAAAGAAAACGCCTCTAGCGCAGAGAGGAATCAAAGCAGCATGATTTCCCAGCGTTACGTTCTGCCCGCTGCCGATCCTAAGCGCTCAGGCGTATTTCGATGTGCAGCCAAAACGTATCCGGATCATGCTGAGAAAATAAATCTGGCTCCGCGTACGAGTTCAAAGACGCCTTTGCAAAGCAGACAGGAACCTAAAAAAAAAAAAAAAGAAATACCAAAGGGGCATATTAACAGCGTTTCCCTTCCACCCTGGAAGGCTCGAACGACACGTCCCAAGGGCTTTGCAAGCTGCTTCAACGCCCGCAGTCGGTGACGCGTTCGGCGGGACCGAATATCGCCACTCGCTCGCCGAGTCCCTTCCGCAGGCCCCAAAGAGGGCCACGAATTAAGGTGCCGCGGTGCGCTGCTCTGAAAAGGGCGA